GGCTCTTAATCTGGACTAAGTGTGGAACTTTCGTCCCCTTGTGAATTCGACCCCCCCTGTGTTAGAGTTACATTTTAACAGTAATTTAGAGTCTGATTAGTTTAAATGTTGTAATTTATTGCACTGACCTTTGTCACCAAGCAGTTTCACCCAAATAAACATATTTCATGTTGTTGGTGTTTTAGCTACAGCAGAGAAGCAGCTCTATGTTTTCCCCTCCGTCAGACACTGAATTGTTTAATTCAGATCATGGAAACAGCTCTATGATGGAGAGACTGAAGAAAGATCCTCCACAGAACAAAAAAGCCATTAGTGATTTTGTGAAAATAAACTTGATTATAGTTATTTTATAAACACTACAAAAATTGTCATTACTGGKTTTTTTTCTGTTGTTGCCAGTTTGTTACAGAAACCAGCCTGTAGTGTTGAATATTAAACATCTGTATCAGACAGAAAAAATCTGATTTAAAATAGATAAATATGCACAATGTACAAGATGTGTCTGTAATGTCACATTATTAGGACAGCTGCTGATTCTGTGCACCGGACAAGGTGCCCTCTTTTTACATTTGAGCACCTGCCCCCGAAAATGTCTGTGCACGCTACTGCTTACATGGGTCCATTAAAGATCCACAATCAGACTTTTGTTGTTGAAACAGTTTCCTTTGATGATTTATTATTGGGTGGGGTCAATCTTCATTTCTTCCAAAAACATTTTCCAAAAGTATTTGTAGCCAAGCTGCAATGAGGCCTTGTTGCATCACATTGATGTAGCACTACTTAGTGGGAATTTATGGCCTTTTAAAAGGTTTTGATTTTCTGAAAAGTTGCAGTGTTAAAGGGTCTTCTTGTGGAGAGATGTTAAAGAGGCAGTATCATGTAAAATCAACTTTTTTTTTAGTTTTATATCATGTTATAATGTTATACTCTCATAAAAAAACATGCCCAAAGCCTTGCTTTGACTCATTCATGCATGTTTGAGAAATCCTGCAGTGTTTTTAGGAAGCCATGCTGAGGAGCAAAACGACAGGTGGGGACCAGAAACGCCTTTTGGGACCAGAAAGGCCCCTGGGACGTGCCTTTAAGCCAAACTTCCTCATGGCACGGTGCACACCTCCCCACCCCACACACCCTGCCCATGACTCATGCAGGCTCTCAAC